TGTGTGTGTGTGTGTGTGTGGAGTGTGTGTGTGGAGTGTGAGCGAGCTCTAAAGACTCCTCACACTAGATGCCAGTCATTCCATGGGTGTGAGTTTTATCAGTGTGTGTCAGCACAGTAAGCTGTCGTCTTGAGTAGCAAATGAGGCCCCACACACACACACACACACACACACACACACACACACACACACACACACACACTCACTTACTTGTTGCTCTGATCCATTCGACACTTTTCATACTTCTGTTGTTATTATTTGATTAAAAATCATTTTTTCAGCAGTGCGACAGATGTCGTGTGGTAAAATGCAGGTCAGACACATACATGGGTTTGCTGATGCTGACCTATTATTCTAACTGGGGCACGATCAGTGTCACTCACCCACTGATAAAATCTTTCAGGTGCCAATATGAACCCTGTATAGAAGTGATGGCTGCTATCATCAAAGCTAAAGTGTTGCATATGAAACACAGAATGAAATAACACATACAGCCAGTTTGATGCAAGCAAACTCATATGAAACCAAAGGCCTTTATCTCTTACTCACGTATCCTCCTGTAACCTTAAACTATGAAATCATTGCTTAGATGGAGTTGATTTGGCTCCTCGGCTCCTCTCAAATAAAATCATGTGCCTTGGATGGGAATGTAAGAAGTGCAGATGAGTGTTTATCCCTCTGGGAGGTTCAGTCCTGTTTCCATTCTCCCCTGCCTCCCCCTTCTCCCCCCGCTCTCTCTTCAGAGCTGTTTACTGAATGTGAACAGTGACTTTTCTATAAGAAGATTTAAACAGTGCTCCTCTATATCTTTACTTAATCATGGCCTCCTCTTACCCTCGCAGTAAAATAAAGGATGTCCAACTGTAACTGTGTAACATCTGCAGAGTCAGTTACTGTGAACATTTCACCACCAGTTACTGAAAAGTTCTTTAACTGGTTGATTGATACGACCCTGGAAGTCTTTGTCGGCTTCATAAGAACGCAGCGTACCGATCATTACATAATAATATATTTGAATTACTTACGTACTAGTTTTATGATTCATTCAAAGTATTTTAAGCACGTATGCATCATCTGTTATGATTATCATCCCCCCCGTCGAATGTCTAAAGATGAAATTGAAGGAGTGCAGGATGCTGCCTCTTACCTTCCAGATGAGAACAGAGCCGGTTGGAGTTTGAGAGAGAAATGTCAGATATGCAACACACTCCGAGGCTGTAAACATAATGTGAGAGAGAGGGAGAGAGAGAGGGGGAGAGAGTGGAAGAGAGAGAGAGAGAGAGAGACCAAGGTCGTACCAGGCTGGTGAATTACACATGCAGTAGCAAGTATCTGGTTCAGGTTCATTATGTTTGAGCCCTAAAACCTGAAAGTGTTAAATTGTTAATCCGAGTGTCCATGACTGATAGGCGGTCGTGAAATGCACTTCAAATCATGTGTGTGAGTTAAACTGTGACATGAGGTCTGCATCTGTCTTCATACCCAGTAGAATCTCTTCTAGCATTTTAAAATCTGACTTTTTTCTTACAATGTTTGTAATAACACAAATCATAAAAAAGCCAGTATGGGAACATGAGCTGTGGTTCGACGTGGCCCATGAAGGTCACCTCCTTGACACACAGCTTTTTAATACCATCTAGTTGTTGATACGATATTTCTATCTTCATCAACCTTTTAAAATCACCATTTCCTATAAGCTCCACAACCTTGGAGGGTGGGTGTGGGATGTTTCAGAGCAGAGATTACAGTAAAGAATCTGGGTTTATCATCACGTGTCCTAAAGTACAATAAAGTGTTCGCAGAGGAATGCAGACACAAAGAAAAATATTATATTGTTTGTATAAGACCTATAAAAAAAACAATTGATGTTGACGAGCAGAAGCTATTCCTTCAAAATTAAGTTGTGTGCGTCAAATCTAGAATATCAAATGTGATTGACTACAGAGAGACACAACCTCTGATACGTCATCAACAACCAGGTTGACATTTCTTTTCCTGTCCTCGCCCTCTTCTTTCCCCATCCTCTGTTGCTGTGGGTGAGCACCCTCAGTAGAACGGATGGGTCACCGTGTTAGAATTCCTCATCCGTTGTTTAATACATCGATGACATGTGAAGTGTGAAGAGCCGGCACATCAACAGCAGAGCGAGATTTGCGGTTTGGCGAGCAATCAAACATCACGGCTGGACCACTCTATTGTCTTCATTATCCTGGCAGGATGATATGACACCTGGCACAATCCCGGTGCCTATGAACAGCTGATGCCACCTCTAAATATAAATACTTGGCCACGACCACACCGGCGGTGAAGGGCCTGGGGATTGATTCTTTGAGATCCAGATATTGTCGAAGCAGCAATGACAAAGTAATATCCCAAATAACCTTGTAAAATAGAATTGTCTTATATCGTCTTGTAACAAACAGACTCGTGAACGAGAGCAAAACAATAGTGGATCATTTATTGTGTCTTTGTAACCTTAAGTAGATTTGTTATAAAAACACCAGATTATAGGTTAAAACATATTTTTGGGGGTTAATTGACAAAATATGGCTACGGCCTGTTTGTGTGAAGTCCTGGGCAGCTGCGTTCACTTGGGAGGAATAAAAACAGACATGGGTCTCAAAAAAATTCTGGAAAAAGTAAAAATAACCCCCCCCCGTGACCCAGAAAGCACTTAATCTGCCTTATAAGGAGAATCTGCATGTAAACAGTCTGTCAGTCACTGTACTGCTTTGTTGTTATTGCTGGTCGCTGATAGACCGTCGGAGTACTTGGACACAGGGATATTAAACATATAAAAAATCACCTTCATTCACTGTGTTTTTCCACAGATAACATGACCCACCCGCCCCTCAGCTGGTTTTCTCAAGTAGGAGGAAACAATTTGGGAAAGAAAACAGACGTAGCCACTGTTCTATTAACATATGAAGTGTGCTTGAAATTAAAACACTTTTAAGAACAGCAAAAATGTTATTAGATGGAAAATAATAAGGGATAAAGCTGTCAAATTGACTGAAAAGAAAGAAAACAGTAATATAACCTGAAACAAATGGATTGCTAGGTTGTAATTATAGATAACACAGATCTGGCCTTTATATTTATTTATCGTCACAGAGGGCTAAAGGTGCTCTCTTAATAAAATAAATAATCATTGATGTGATGCCGTAAGACAGCACAGTACCAAGAGAGGTTCTGGCTGGAGAGAAAGGTCATCTGTCCCTAAAGAGATGAAGATGTTTGGGGAAAAGAAATGATCACTGGGTTTCTTTGTTTGCTTTAAGCCTTGCCAGTGCTGCAGCTCTGTGGTTGGTTGGCTCGTCCACAACTATGTTCTCAGCAACTGTTTGATGGATCGCCGTGAAAATAAATGTACATTTACGTTTTAATTGATTTGAATTAGTTATTTGATGCTATAAAAATGTGCGGACTCCAAATGACGTCAGAAAATCGCAGATATCTAATGTTTACAATTATAAAAAAGAGAGAGTTAATCTGTGAGGAGCTGCTTAGCGGCATCACATCAGACTGTAGCTGCACTGGACACAGGTGTGAACAGAAACTAAGAGCATTTCTTTGCCTGGGACTTAACAATGTAAGGATGAACAAATTCAAGCATGTGATTATCCCTGTTCTGTCGTATAAAGTCTTCTTGAAGCAGTGATAAGTATCTATGTGTCTGCTGGACTGAAGGTGTCTCAACAACTCAGCCGCTTTTATTTCAAGCTGAAAAATAATAAGAGAGAAAAAATTCCACCAAGAAAATTGTTCTCTTTTTTCCCCCCCTCAGGAGCCGTTCAGCTCTGCAGCCTTACATGGTGAAATGCAAAAACAGCTCTGACCTCAGACTAGAAGGAGAAGAAGACACACGCTGAATGATACAGAAAACCACAGCAGACCAGAGAAAACACACAGAGCTTCTGCTGCCACTCAGAACAGAGGGAGATTCGTTGTCGCCTAAATCCAGAGCACATATGTGAAAAACAAAAACTCCACAAAACATTAATTAATCTTAATTTTCAAGTAACTTTTCTGCCTCGTGGTATTTTAGGTTTTTATTTTACATCCATTCGAAACAAGATCGTGCAAACCACATCCTGCTGTGACCAGTTAGGGGCCGGCCCCCCCTTTGACGTCTCTGCACCAAAATACACTAAAAATTTTCTTATTTCCTGTTAGTCAGAAGTAGATACTTCCAAATGGAACATGTACAACATGGGGGCTTATTTTTTTCTTCTCCCACAGAGTGATGGTGCACACATCCTTGAACATTTAGAGTATGAGTAGTGTATCAGGGTTTGAAAAGTATGGAGCACAGTGTTGAAGAGAAACATAAGAGCTGCTGTTGCTACTCATCTGATGAGGAACACTATGGTAATTGCCATGTTTTGGCACGTCACCATAATCTGCTATTGGCCAAGAACCACTTGGCCCTGACCTTATGATAAAAAGTATGCACATGAGGAGAAGCACACGCACTATGTCTTATTCAAAGGATGTATATAAAAGTGTCTGAGCTAAGCATGCGGCAAAAGAAGAATTTGAGCTTTAGTCTTACTGCAAATATCAGGAAGGAGTTTCAGGAGAACTGCACATTATGAATGTCCAATAACTGCAGTGTATTATAAATAAACGCACATATGTTTAGCTCTAAATGTCGCTTGCCACTCAAGTAAGAAGTGTTGAGGAAATGTTTTCTCTCAAAGGCCAAAGCCACCCACACTCATTTTTCTTTATCCTGCACAGAGCTGTAATACTGCATATTCACTGATTATGGATGGATGGATAAAATAAGATATATGGATTATATAAATGGATTAGATCATATAGATAAATAGATAAATTGATAGATGGATAGATGGACATTTTTGGGGTGAAGAAGGATGGAGGAAGGGTTCGCCCCATCAGCTCTGTTTACTCTGGAGGACTTACTGCCTCTGTTGGCAGCTTCACACACATTCTCCCCCTCTTGCTCCCTCGTTCTCGTCCTCCCTCTCTGTTCTCCAGATATAGCCAGCTATGTGGAGAAGCCTACAGCTGACATATCCCCAGAGGCCTCCGTCTAAGTGCAGGGTTTATCTGATGCCAGCGTTTGAAGCGCAGCACCAAACCCGAAACAACAATTCTCCCTTTGAATTCCACCCTAATGACATTAAAGTGGTTGTGAATTGGATTGGATGAAGATTAGATTTAAGAAAATCTAATTTAGAAACGGAGATTTGGTTAATGTTTCCTCGGGGCAGTGTTGTACATTTTTATTGATCATTTAGGGACAGTGTTGATATGACAGTATGTCATTTGTAATCAGGGTAATGCCCCCTGAAAGTAAACGATTCAAATCAGTCGAAGTCGCCTCAGTTAGCTCTTCAAGCAGAGCTTTTGTTTTCTGTCAGACATTGTATGGTTATACAGGGGACCAGAAGAAGCTGCAGAGCGAGTGTTCCTTGCTCTTTAACGCTGTTCTCATTGCTAAAAATCATTCCAGTACCTCAAGTCGACCTGTCTTCCTGCTCAAGATGTCTGTGATGGGTTCATGCAGCTGTAGATCCAGACCCCGGGTGAGTCTGAGCGATACGGAGGCAGCTGCCCGCAGGATGAGAGGCCTCGACCAGTCAGCCCCGGAGAAAACATTATCTGGGTGAGTTGCAACACTATGCAACTTCTTTTACTATAAATAATAGCAGCTTCAAATTTAGTTTGATGGTTCACTGACTTGGAATGTATTTCTATTCCTCTCCCTTCACGTCTTGCTATCAGGTCCATCAAGTTCAAGAGTAACTCTGAACTGTAGATCAATTAAAACAACGTAGAAGTAATAAAAAAACAGCTTTTATCTCCAATAAAACATTGTTTGTGTTGTTAGCACGCCTTGACAAAATTGTTAGTCAGCCACGGCGCTCATTTTTTAAACTCTGCTCGAGCAGATCATTAATCCATCACTCAGCAGCGTCACAAACAACATCCCAGATGTTTCTGTCACAGCGATGGCTGCATCAGTATGCACACTAATGCCCTGAACCTAATGTGATTACAATGTGCGCCACGATTGAAACACACACCACACACACACCTTAATCTGATGATCTCGTTTTAATGAGTCATATATTTTGTTAATGTCGGCAGCTGAGACATACAGAGAATCAAATTATTTAACCATTTGGAAGCGTGAGGTGCATGTTTGTGCGGTCTCGTCCTTCCAGTTGTCAGAGCAACCGATCACTCATATCTCAGTAGACAGCAGGGACGTGATGGATTGTGACATGAGGGAAGTGACTGACAGCAGGAGCACGACAGTGAAGCGGATCAACAAGAGAGAATGGGTCTTTATGGAACCATAATAACTCAAGCAACCATCTTATTTGTAATATATACACATAGAATCTCTAGATATTGTATTATTTTACTCTTATAGACATTTTGATTGCAATAGAGGGAAATTATTCTATTAAAATCAAGATATATATATATATATATACACTTCATCTGTTTTTTTTTAGTTAATATCCAAAAATAATCCACAAGGCCAGCGCACCTCATCTGTTTTGCTAAAATAAACCAAAGGCTCCCGACCTACTAAAGATGAAACGCCACAAATCCAACAGGCATAGTTGGCTTCGTCTGGCTGCTTCAAATCCAGCACACTTTATGTTGAACCTAAAATGGCTGATGTACCACAATAGCCTTAAGTAATCACAGTGGGCTACTGTTGTCGCAGTAATCCACCGTAACCCATTCCTGGCATACGCATCATACTTCTGGAAAAAAACAAAACGTATCAAACAAATGCAGCAGAGCCTCCCGAAATAAAACCGCACAAATCTGCAGCACCTGATCTGCGTCGTCCGCTGTCACCTCTCCAGAATAATCACTCAAATCCAGCACCTCTAAAGGACGACGCTCCCCAGAGATACCCGGCAACAATCACTCAAATCTGGAATGCCCCGGGACACACTGCCTCTAAAAATAGCACAAATCCAGTGCACCAGATTTTTGGACACACTTGTCATTCCTCTGAAATTGGAAACCTAAATCCACCCCCCACAATCAGCCTTGCTACTGTCAGATCAGAGCTGCAGTTGTAATATGTTTTTTTTTCCACAATCATTCTGTTAGATGTAGTCTGTGAGCTTTCAGGAGAATGATGTGTGCAGAAAAACTGTGCCCAGGAGTGATGAATGCATCTCAACACGGACCAGAGAGACGTTCCTGGATCTGGTTTATTCTTCAGCAGACACAGATGAGGGCTTCAAACTGCATCTCAAACTCCATCTCTGTAATATTAAATTTCCATCGTCATTACGCTGTCTCTAGTCGAGCAGAAACTGAATCTGTGGTTGGGGAAAACCTCCAGTCCCTTCATACCTCTACACAGGATACTTGGCTACAGATAAGGGAAGACAGATGGTTATTGAAGTTAAAAATGTCTTATTTGTCTGTGTCCAATTGATTTTCTTTATTGTGAACCAGGAGAAAACTACGATGGAAATGGAGATTTCTGTAATTGCAGACTTGCACCAGACTTCTACTCGTGGACAGACATAAAACTAATATTGAACCTGGTTCTGACAGACCCACTAAACACATCACTTAAAGTTCTTATCACTCTTTCTATCATTCTTTACAAATCACATCCTCTCATAGAGTCTGTAAACACACAAGTTATTCTAACTCTTAGATGTTGAGCGCATTTCTAATCGGCGACCCCTTAACAGCACCGTGTCTGGTATAGTAAATCAGAGAGGAAATGACGATTCTAACACACTCAACCCATCCTCAACACGTCAGCTCGCTAATTTCCTTTTCTTCTGGCCCTTGGGCTGTATTTTCACAGTAAAACCTCCCACTCGAGGTGTGATGTGAATTCAGAATGGCCACTGTGTGAAAAATGTGTCCAAGAAAACTTCAACCGGCTTTTTCAATCCTTGAAACGATTTGGCTAAATATGACATTTAATACGTGCTTTGTCGTTTTATTATTTTGAGTTTAATTTGATGCAGCGTTCTTATTAATGTGTAATATGACTTTTTAGTTCAGTCTATGACCCATTCACTAACATGGAGGAGGCAGGGTTTATGACATGTAGTACAGCAGCCACAGGGTGGCGATCGAGATGCTTTGGCTTCCCTTTATTGGAGCTACAAGTCGTCCATTTTATTATCAATCTGTGAGTCTGAAGTCGGAAATATTTGTCTTGATATGATTAAAATGTGTCTTCTTAATCCATCTAGGGAAAACTGTTGGTTCCCTTCCAACCGGAGGTCGGAGGTCATGTCATGTGGAGGAGAGCCTGTCCAGCTTCAGCATGTGGCTCAAGGGCCCTTCAACAGGACGTCCACCCTGCTCATCACGACCCTGCTGATCTAAGAGTGAGAACCCTTTGCTTTCACACAGTCTAGTGTCTGATTGCCTGCGGTTATTTAGAGCATTCTGATATGATGATGATGATGAAGTCGTCTGCAGCGATCTGATTGGCTGTTTGTGGTTGGATGCTGGATTATCTGAAGGGTTTGTCAGTGTCTCCAGTCTGATGCACAGACAAGTTGGAGCGCAGCAACGGAAAAATGACTGCTCTATTTATAAAGGCCCATTTAACAGAAGAGGGTCGTCTGTGTCCCTCACAGGAACACGGTCAGGCCGTCGTCCTGCAACACAGATCTCATTCCACCACGAGAACGGATCAGGACTCATATCTATACCTGCTTACACAGTTTTAACATGGTGTGTTTTATATAGTGACCTATTGATCCATAGTTTTACTTTTATTGAAGATCATTTTCCCATATTCAGCATAATTTGAGTTGTGTTGGGTTTCTGGAGCTCATGGCAGCATAAAAACTAAAGTTCTCTGAATCTATTGTATGATACTTAAATACTTATTTCTCATGTTTTACTCATGTATATGCAGCTGCTGACAAACTTCACATCTGTAATTTCTCATTTAAGCTGATTTTTTACTGGAAGATTAGATAAAGAGATGTTGGTCTGTGTAGTTTCCTTCTTGAGTACATGCACATGTAATGCAATTGTGCCATATCATGGACAAATGGAGGTACTGCAAGAGCATCGCTGCTCAGTACTTAGTCCTGACGGTGATGTTGCTTCTCAGTTTTCACTTCGTGTCAGTGATGAACGTTGTCAGTCGAGTTGTTGAGCAGTCATGTCATCCATCTTTTATAAACAGTCCATGGTACGCACACGCTCACAAACTCCCACCCCCAGAGGACGAGAAGGAACAAGTTCAATGTCCTAAAATCAAAAGTGAAAGAAGGATAAAGTTCCTGGAGGATGTGAAACATATTGTTTTTCACAGTATAAAAAACAGTCTCACTGCCTTACTGAATTTCTTCTTCTTGTATGTGAACCATAGTAATGTGTTAAACCACAAGTTAGAAGTGGTGTCTCAGTGACTAGTTTATAGTCTTTGTATCACTTCTACAAAGTGTCCTCTCTGTATTTGTGTGTGATATAGAAACTTCCTGCTCGCTTTTGACACATCTTAAATCTATTTACTCTTTGCTAATATTTGCTGACAACCACACTGCCCAACTGCTTTAGGGAATAGAAACCACCAAGCTGACTCTATATAATAAGAATATTAGCTGATTTATCAAGATGGAATTTTCCGACAGACTGTTAAGAAAGAATTCAAAGAGTTAATATTGGCTCAGAAATTATGGGAAGCCACGCGCTGTTAATCAAAGTTACATGTGGGTTTCCACATTTCCACTGCATTCATCGATCGCTGCAACAGCAACGCAAAACGTCACACATCTTATTTTGTAACGCAGCTTTTAGATCAACACGGGCCTCCAGTGCAGTCAGAGTGAGTTGGTGATGTCAAAGCTTCAGAGGTAAGATGTTCATTCTGTACAAATAAGTGCATTTTTACAGCTTCTGGCTGCTGGAATACAAAAGTTTATCACAATGTTCATAAAATTCAAGTTTCACGTTTCACAGTGGGGATACTGTTGTTAGTAGAACTTTTCTTTCAAGCAAAAATAAACACAGCACATCCCGTCTTCTGAAGTTACAATGGCATGACCTTATTTGTCAGGTTACATCATAAGAACAAGAAACCTTTCATTTCAGATAGAGGAGACATTTTAAAGTTCAGAGAAAATTCACAGAAACATATTGTTTTAACTTATGAAACTCATTAGCTCAGGAGAAAAAATGTGACATTTATTTCTCATTTAGTCTCAATTGTTTAACTTTGTTTTGACTTTGCTGTTTGACATTTTGTCACCGTAAAAAAGGAAACTTGCTTAAAATACTATTTGAATTCAGGTGTGTGAATGTGGGCAGCAAATGTTGAGCTAATGGAAAAGATCATTTAAAACCAGTTGTTTGGAATCGGTTTATAACGTCAGTGACCAAATTAAAAGAGTTAAAATCGAGAAACCAATGTGATTTTATTCTTTGAGAACTAAAACAAACTTGACCTAAAAGAAGGTTGTGATGATCTTTGAATTGAGGTCACAGAAGCCTTAAACGTAGAATAACATTGTTTCATTCTTTGACGATGAAAGCAGACAGGGCCTCTTGGATCACTTCCTTTAGAAACCATAAGCACGTTCACGTTAACGCATGAATATGATCTCAGTGCGCGCTGACAGGAAATAACCTTGATAATGGAAAGCGGCTGTTCTTCTTTTCAGCAGAACATGATGAAGATGAAGATGGCTGTTGTCTCTGAAATCTCTCTGCTGCTGCTGTTCTGCTGCTCCGTCATCTTCCCCACAGGTACTGAGAATAAATAACTCATTAGTGAATTAATTAGTTTTAGTCTGGAACAGATCAGTAGAGTAAATCATGTTCTCCTTGTTCTCTGCATATTTTAAACTTACTGCTACTTTTTTTGTGATATTTTTAAAAGCAAATCTTTCATTTCTAAATTACCTCTGTACTCTTTACTTTACTTCAACACAAGTAGAAGGATTTTCAACCCCAGATTTTTTCTGTGAATCATATATAACATCCTAATATTCGTATATATTTTTTTTTTCCATCCACGTTCAAAATATTTAGTTTGCAAAATTTTAAAATATTGAAAAAAACGTTATTGCAGCTGCTCAAAGGAAGCAGCTCAGGGTCAATTTTAAAAAAATATTCTTTATTAGAAAAGGGACAATGTGCATTAATTTGCATTACACTATATATGAGTCCACGGCCATTTGCAACTGACACAGAAACATTTGTATGAACTTTCCTGGTGAAATCAGTGATGACATTGTTGGTTCTTCTAGCACAACCTTTAAATATACAATAAGATGAGGACTATCTATTTCATTTGTGTGATGCTCTGATTTGTTGTGTATTTGATTTGTTTAGCTGACTTCTGTTCGTCCATATTTGCGTTCCTATAGTTCTGACTTCAGCAGAACTGTATGTAGCGTTCTGCGGCGTATTGGTCTGAAATGAGGGCACAGAGGACGAACAGGAAGCCGAGCAAAAGCGTTTCAGTGACCTTCAGAAGCAGCAGTCATACAGTTCCAGTAAAGCAGCAGTTTTAACAATGGAACCTAAAAAGTTCATGATAACGTTTTTTCTCTACAAATACATGTTGAAGATGGAGCGTAGAACAAGTGGCCCAGGTTCTTATATATTGTGTATATATATAAGTGTTAGATCTTTTTTCTCTGTTAAAACTTGGGTTATCGACGTGTCACATGACGATGGACGATAATAATACAAACATAATGAAATCATTGAAATCATTTGACATTTTCAGACACTCCAGACAATATTTAATCTGACTTCATTCTTAATACATTTAGGTTCAGAACAAAGGTGTAAAAATGCTGACTTGAAGCTTTCAGACATTTGTCTGTTGTTTCCTTGCATTGTTTCCTGTCCTGCGGTTATAAAAAGGTTTCATTAAGAATCTCTTCACAAAGAATTTAAAAAGTAATAAGCATCTTAAAGGACTGTGAGTGAGTGCTTCACTAGACAAAAAGAGTTTGTTAAGTTAATGGTGCAACTTTTTCAATTATTTTTATTTTGGATATCAGCTTGGTTTTTTGTGTAATTTATTTTCCCTCTTTTGAAAATATAAATACTGTTTGATATGGTAAGTGTCATGTCTTTACTAGTATATTTGCAGAATTGCCTGTTGCTGGTCATGAATCGCATATTTTCACATCCTGTCAGGGTGTTTCACACCTGAAGCTTCAGATCAAGGTCCGAACCATAGTTCATGTCTTTTGTACGACACACGTACATCCTGTGAGTAACTTTCTCGGAAAATGAAATCTAAATTCTCTGAAACTGTAAAACGACGATTCTGCAGAGAACAGTTGATGACCAACACCATTACCAGCAGGAACACTGATAATTCAACGGCTGTAACAACTGTAGAATCTGTGCTGTAGATGTTGATGGGGACTTTCAAAGTTCCCAGAGACTGTACCATTTCCTTTGTGTTCCCCTGTCCGCCTCTTCCTGTGTTTCTGTCATGTGTTTGAGGTGTAAGGAACACTGCAGCCACTGTAGGTTAGTGTTGAAGCTTTTGCAAAGTCAGCTATGTGGGCGTTCATACGGCCCCGTCTCATTCTCTGTTGTTTTTCTTTCTCTCTCTTCCATAGAGTCTCTGGCCAATTGCAGCAGCTACGCCGCAACAGGGGAGGCCTTTGCGGTGCCTCTTGGATACAACCTGAAAGAAAAAGATAGAGTGAAATGGTGGCGCGGTCCTGATGTGATCGTGGAACGAAAACCCGGACCACCGGGGACGAAGTACACGTTTCACAAGGGGGGCGAAAATCATATTTATCCAAATGGATCCCTGAAGCTAATGAATGTGAGCAAATCTGATGCGAATGAATACATCCCAGCTGTTTTCAGTGCGGATGGAAAGTCAGAACCAAATTTAAAGAGCACCCGTTTATGTGTATTGGGTAAGTTTCAACATATTATATCTTTCTGACCGTCCCTCTCTCTTCACACGGTATTTTTAAACACATAAATTGCACCACTTCAATCATGATGGATCTAATCTCTACTCAGATCGCGTCCCGCAGCCTACATTGAACATTGTGTGTCACAAAACCCAACTTATTGTGACTTGCCAGGTTGCTCAGGTGACAACAAATAAAGCAGTAAGGCATTTCTTGCAAATCATTCTCATTTTGAGTGAGAGCATTACAGAATCCATATTGGTTTACTTTATGAATTACACATTCTCATGATAATCCTCTAACGTGTCCTTTAATGACGTTTCACCCTGTAGGAGAGGAATCTCAACTTTAGTTGGTTCCACAATAACAATCTGTTGAAAAACAACTACGGACCAAAGCTGGTGCTTGAGCTCAAAGATCTGAAACAAGGAATGCAATCCTTCAGTTGCAAAGTTTACAACCAAGTCAGCGCTTTGACCAGTCAGACTGTCTCATCCAACTGCAACAGTGAGTATGATCCTGTGGTTACCACCGCCACATGTTTCTAGCCTGTCTTTTATGTGGAGATGTTGTATGTAATAAGAGTATTTGAGCCGCTAACAGGGGGAAATAAAATCTTAAACCCTGTTAAGTTATACTTCATTACAGGTCTCGCAAATAAAGAAAAGCTTAATCTTGTCTTAAGTATCAAGGCTTGATGAAGATTGTGCTGGAAGCTGGTTTTTTATTCTTTAGAAACAAACACTCAGACTTGGAGGAAATGGTTGTTGGTGGTTGACTGTGAGGTTGTTTACATCTGTGTGATATTTATAGAAGTTCCGGTGAGGACAAGTTCTCTTCTTGAAATTTTTTTTTCTTTTTTCTCATATTATTACGACTTTATTCTCATTTACGATACTTCAATACAGCCCTAATGGCCTAATTTTACTTTCCAGGTGTGTGTGTTTTCATATAACAACTTGGCACAATCACCTTTAACGTTGTCAACTGTCCATCGAACACTCGAACCCCTTCACATTAAAATAGCCATTTGGATAAAACTCACTCACATGAAATTAATATTTAATGTTTTCTTCTTCCCCTCTTTCCTCCTACAGACTTTTTTTTCACTGACTTATGGACACTTATCTACATATCCGTGGGTGGTGGTGGAGGTAGGTTCGCTCTCCTGTGTAGCTCCATGTTAACATGGCAGTATTTTTTTATCAGATAGTGATACTTGAGAAGAATGACCAGGAGTGAAATGTGCAATTTTAGATTTTGACATTTTCAATAATTATTGTTATTATCCATCCTGACCAGGTCTCGTTATAATTCTGACAATCATCGTCATCGCTTGCTGTGTCCGGGCCAAACGGAAAAAAAGAATGCAAAAGACTGGTACGTTGCTTTTGGTTTTTTTTTTAGTTTGGGATCAAATTTAGAATTAACAATATTTCATACAGTACACTCTTTAAAATAAAAAGTTGATAAGCCAGGTTGAGGGTTAAGGATTTTGGGGACGTGTGTGTTCTGGGGACAAAACAAGCCTGTTTTAACATCAGGGTGTAGCAGCCTGTGGAAAAGGAACGACTGCACAGAAAGAGAGAAGAATCGATTCCACTACTTCTGGATGTAGACGTAGACGCAACCGTTTGCTGATTGGGTTTTCTCAGTCACAATATAAACTTTGCTGATTTGTCAGCCCCCCATCACATGACCCCCTGCGTTGTAGTATGGATGTACGAGGTCAATAGGGTGTTCACACAAAGTAAACCAGAAGATAATTATCTGATGTCTTCGAATCTGAGATACGCGGTCTGCACTTAAATCCTCAAATCTCTGGCATGGCCACAAAATCTCCCTGACATTTATACTGTAAAAACTAAATGAAATATGAAAGTTTTCACATCAACTACAAGTTTAACTGGAAAATATCCCTTGGTTTTATATTCTTGCCAAAAATAAAGAAAGATTAAGATGTGAACTCAACATTTCTTTGAATGTTCAGATGAGGAGGAGCTCCGTCTCAGGTGGGCCAACCCTGAGCAACGGCAGCAACATGAATGTCCTCAGCATGGCCATCCTACCAGTCACCAGCGCCAGCACCAGCACCAGCAGCAACCGGCCGGCCACACTGGTCCTCGCCAACATCGCTCCAAACAGCACCGTGAGCAGCAGCATCGTCCCAGAGCCCAAGAGTCCACTCCCCCTCCCCCTCCCCCTCAGCCGGGCCCCAGGAGAGCCGCACAGGTAGGAGGGTCAAGTGGAGGTTTCACAACACTGCATGTAAGGATGTGCAACAGTTGAAGCAGGTTGAACTATAGCAAATTACCAGTAAGTCAAGTCATCGGATTTACTCTTCCTGTCTCTTCAGACCACAAAAGCAGAGGTTAACGGGGATGACGAGAAGCCTCCTCCTCTTCCTCAGCCCAGGACGAAAACTCCCAGAACTAGACAAGTGTGACGTGAGTGTGTTAATGACTCAGCAAAGAAAAATGGAATTTAGTCCTGTTCATGTTTTTGGCGCAGTTGTGGTTATCATCAAGTTGTTTATCGTCTCGAAAAGTAGAAGAGGTTCTATTGAATATGACTCTGTTGAACAATGTTTGCGCTTTGGTTTTATTTTCATATGTTATTTTTTGTATTTATTTTATGTAAAAGTGTTACCGGAACACAACTTTTAACTTTTTTTTTAAACCAATTCTTAATTATCAGAACTGTATTATATGCTCAGTGTATAACATCTGTTTTTATTTTTATTCTCTTCTCCTCTGTCTCACAGAGGAAAGACTCCACGATGAAACAGATTTGATTATGAAGTTTAATTATTACAAAACAATGAGACATTCATGTTTTAATCATCATGTTTTCATTTAATTCCTTAATACATTTTAATTGGGCTTTAATATCTAAAAACAACACAGAGCAAAAGTCATTGGGTTATTGTCTTAACATTAATTGCATATTTACAGAATTGAGTTTGTCGACTTCTTTGCTCTCTTACCAAAGTTAAGCAGCCACAAGAAATTGTATATTTTAAATGTTTTTACTGTCACAACCACAACTAGCAGCCTTTACGTACATTTGAAACAAATCCTAACTTTTCTATTCTACTGTTTGTTTTTGACAAATACATGAAAATTACTCGTCTAACGAAATTTACTTTTTGCCTCTTAACACATCTGTACCTGCTTATTATCATGGATTTATATTGAGAAACTGTGCAGTGACATTTAAAAAAAAAAAAAATCCTGTGACTTTTCTAGTGAAGTGAACACTGTAAACTGAAATGTTTCAAACAGCTTCGTTTGTGCTGCTGACATTTTTCACGGCGGAAGAAGCGTGTTAGTGTGTGTGTCACTCACATATCCTGTCTTTTTTACAAAAATGTCTGTGTGGTTTTGAGGGTTGGCTGCAGAGTGCAAGATTATTATCGTGTGTGTGTGTGTGTGTGTGTGTGTGTGTGTGTGTTTCGACCAGATCTTTTCCTTTACTTGCAGTTTTACAACAGAAATAGATTTTCTGAGGTGATCTCATGATATTTCGTCATTTTAAACTCAACTTTTGTTCTAGGCCACACACACGCTGCTGCTAATACTGTGCTCTTGTCAGAAAACTGTTTCACAAGAGGAGAATATTAGGGATGTGTGTAAAATGCAAAACTCATTATGGCTTTTATTGTGTTTCGCTTCTTATGTAGCTCATTTATTTTAAGATTAATGCGACATGGCTGCTGGAATGCTGCAATTTCCCACTGGGATTCATTAATGAGGTTTTTTCTTTTGCAGGAGAAACTGGTACTACAGAGATTATTGTAGCTGCATGGATGGATGGATGCAAAGATGGATGGATGATGGATGGATGGCTTTAAAAAAAAGGAAGATGCATAGGGTAAAAATATCCACTCAAGCTGAGAAAAAAAAAGGATTCTGTATTTTTCTACTGCAACCACTAGATGTCGCTCTAGCTCCTAAAATTTGATTTTAAAGCATAGACCTGATTTTTTTCCCCCTTGCGTCTCCTTTGTTTTATCTTTTCTCAGACAGAATATTTTTCATTTGCTCTCGCTGAAATGAAGAAAAAGGTATTTGAATTTTAATATACACGAGTACAATGGGAATGGGAATTCAAGACTTTTGCTTCTTAGTAAGAATCTTCTCGTGTGGAGACATCCTGACTTTTATTCCCATGTGTACCTGCGTGTGTAACGCCACCTTAAATTTCCATATTCTTCAATAGACTTCTGAATGGTGGTCTCATCTATACCCAGAAATGTAAAACAAAACAGAAATGCAAAAAATGGAAAATACAGATTAAATTTTTTAGTGAGAGTAAATGTTAATGTTGACAGCACATGTCTCTTCTTACTTAATGACTGCAGAAAACTGTGCAGATGCATCATGGGAGCTTAACCAGCGCTCACACACTTTATAGCTGAGGTGGTGGTCTGTGGTTTAGAATAAAAGGCTCCATTAAAACCAGATGCACAAGCAGGAACCTGTGATCTGGTTAATGACTGATGGGGCAGTAAGGATAAGGCAGTAAGATAAGACTGTGTGTGTGTGTGTGTGTGTGTGCGTGTGCGTGTGTGTGGTCTAGGTATCTCATGTTTTGGGTTAACATCACAGAAATCATTCAGTTTTAACGTTAGGTTTAGGTTAATATTAGGTTCAGGTTATGTTTGAGTGAGGATTAAGCAAAGTAGTTGCCCTGATTAGGTTAAGGTTGTGTGTAGGTGTAGGTTAACGTTAGGTTCAGGTTTAAGTTAGGTTTAGTTTAAGGTAGGGTTTTTCTTAGGGAAATGAATGTGGGTCAATGTAATGTCCTCTGAGGTCATGGAGACTTCTGTCAAGCCACCGTGTTGACACCACATACAGTAATAGTCAACAGCACACACACACACAAACACACACACACACACTCACACACACACACACACAGTAAAATTAGCCATAGATTTAGTTTCGCAGCAGTCGAAGTTTCAACCTTTGACTCCGAGGCTACAAACCCAAACTTCTCACCTCCTCCCGCTCCCCCTCTGTGTGCCTGCGGAGGCCGACTGAGCGGTGACCTTTGACCCCCCCGGCCGGCCTGTGTAAATACACAGCGTGGTTCTGACCACAGGACAGTAGCTGACAACAGGAATGTGTCAGCCTCATTATCATCCACATGTGGACTGAACCATTTTCATGCCAAATACAAATTGAAATATTCACTTTCCCCAGAACACGTATTTTTGATTGTATGTATGTTTTGTTGTTGGTATAAATTCTAGGAGGTGGTAAATTCTGGTGGAAGCATAGATGACCTTTAATAACAAGCTGTTTAATATAAGATAAGTCATTGTTGTGTTTCCTTATGTTTTTTTATCTCGTTTCCTGATTCATCGCTGTATTTTATCATTTGATGGTGTGTTTTCCTATTTACCATCGTGTTTTTTTCTTATTTATCTTTTGTGTTTTCTCGTTCACCATCATGTTTTGTGACTTGTCGTTGTGTTTTCCACCTCAGGGCCATCGGAAAAAAAAAATGTCTCTGAATCACAATGCGGATGTTGTCACTATCTCCAAATAAAAAAATCATTAGTTCAAATATTTTATTGTTATTATTCTGATATTTCACACAGTAAGAGATGAGACGTCACATCAGACACTGAAACATGTGACATGATAGAGGCAGGTTCACATCTCTCTCTCTCTCCCTGCCTCTCTCTCTCCCTCTCTCCCTCTCCCTCCCCACTCCTCCTCCAGACACTCACCTAACTTCCGGCCACTCTCTCTCCTCCCTCATGTCTCACCCACATTCCCACACACACACACACACACACACACGCAGTAGACCGGTTCAGTGTTGTGGGCACCGTGTAAACGCGTTCTTGTCTTGATCCGGATCACTGGATCCAGGGAGTCACGGTGTGCATCCGTTTTGCTGCGCGGCTCCGCCCGGTGTGCGGTGCGGTGCGGTGACTACACGCATCTGAGAGTTTTAGTGGAGCGGCAGCGGCGGGAGAGGAGGACTCGTCTTCTCCGGACAAAGGGAACGAGGGAGGAAAGTGAAGGAAAAAGGAGAAAGAGTGGAAGGAGAGAGGGATGAAAATGGATTATTCTCTTCTCACACTCGTCTTCTGTGTTTTCACGCTCGGTAAGAAACGTCTTTTAATCTTTGTTGGCCAATTAACTCCCGTCCACCCGACGCTTCATTTACAAACACGCCGATTTAAAATGTATTTGCATTTCAGCACAAATACGCGCGTCGATTCAATTCACATTGAATAATTCTCACATCTTTAAAATCCATTAGTCAAATCGGTGTGTGTCAGATCCATTAAGCAGCGCTCTATTTCAATCCATTTCAAAACTTTTCCAACTCCTCCACATCGCAAGCTGGCCCCAACCTATGTACCTGTCAATGGCAGCAGAGGCACGTTTAGCAGGTTTTAAAAGTGGATTTAAGTGGAAAAACAAGTGTCATTTGATGCAGTGAATGAAGCCGAATGGAAGAGCTGCTTCAAGACATTGACACATTGTACCAGGATCCGACTCAGATGTTCCTGCGTGTGGCGACAAGCGAAAAATGCTAAAATGCCATTTTGGTAAAAGGAGTTCGGTGCTGAAGTCTCCCCCCTGTGAGGGCGAGCTGCAGATATTCCCCTCTTCCATGCACTGCCTCACTGTTTTGTAACAGCTGCTCAGATGTGTTTAGCTAATGTGAATCTGTCAATTAAAGAGACGGTTAATCCATATTCTGCCTTGAGGTTAATTAAAGAATGAGAATGAAACCACACTGAAACACTGGAGCCAGACTCTTATGTGGATCTACACACTCATCTAGACCCATGAATTATTCTGAGAGAAATCAAGGTAAATGCTGAAAAACACAATTTCTTGCAGCGTTAAAGATTCAAATCCTGGATGTGCCCCCTGACCCGGATACAGCCCAAACTTGAATGAGTTCCTCCCTCACCAACATCACATCCTCCCGACAGGTTTCGTGGTAATTCGTGCTGCAGTGTTTCTGTAACAGGAGTGAAAACAGAACCTCCTTAGCCAAAGAAATGAGGCCGCTTTCCTCCATCCCTTCCCCTCCGCCCATTAAGATCAATCATGAGGTGATCAAGGTCCATAACAAGCCACTCAAGACTGTCCATCATGATCACGCTTATTATTTGCATTGCGTCCATACCAGAGTGTAACCTGTCTGACTGATCACCAGTGTGTTTTGAACCAAAGGACCAGTGCATAGTCATTAGACTGGATTTTACCACAGTCCAGGACAAACCCAGGCTTGTTCACCGGCATCCTTTTTACCTCCGGGCCAAACAAGGTTGAACAGGGCTTACCAATGCTGAGGTTGCCGTTTGTTTGTGAGCACAACAGTAGATTCTCTCGTGTGTGTGTGTGACGGAGAGAGAGAGCGACTTGGCTTAAATTAGAGCAGTGCAAGAAGATCTAATGTCGCTCAGCGCTCCTGGAGCTGCAGAGACAGAAGTACTTCCCATCAACGTGGACTCTCGTGCTTTAAATAAAATCAAACTCATATGCAGACTCCCCAGAGGACGAAACCTCATGGTTACACTTCCCCTCAGATGTAAGCACGTTTTGTTTCCCTCAGGAGAGAACTGGTCGTGTTCGAGCATATTTCCCACATCACCAGACAATATGTCAAAACCTGTGAGCTTGTGAAACCTGTTTAACAGTTCTGTTCATAAATTTAGATTTTTGTTTTGCTGCAGCAACTGTGAAGATGCCTCACGACTTGTTTGTGTTGAGCTGTTGAGCCGAGAGACACCTATTGTTGGCTGGGGGGCCTCAGGCAAAAGGGACTCCCCCCCCCCCAAAGCAAAGTTGAAGTGCAAACCCCCCACCATCATACACATGCATGAAGACATTCTTGTCTTCAACAGAACTGCTAAAATTTCTAAGCTTATGGCAGAAAACAAGTGGCATGGGGCTTTTCTCTACACAGCCGGTCATAGAATTTAAGGGGGTTCTCACTAAATGTTTGTGAACAGCTGTTCTCTGGGGCCCCCTCTTAGCGCAGGGGCCCCAGGCAATTTCTTTCTTTGCCTGGCATGAGCATTTTACTCCTGCTAACCCTAAAGACTTTCAAATGAACTGTAGGGAGCAGTAAACACATTATTTTCACCATGCACGCTCAGGTTAACGCACAGACTATGCACTTGAAATTAAAAGCACATTTATTTGCCTCTGTCGTGCAAAAGTCTCTCACCCTCCTTTTTTTGTTTGAGAAATATTTAATGAGTTTTTGGTCCGGCCAAGACATCACAGTGAAGTTCACTGAGAGTCAGCCGGGTTCTTTCAGAGCAATTCTCTCTAAAAACAGTTGAGGTGTTGTTTCTTTTAACACCAGCTGTCAATTCTCCTCCACGATGTCAACTTAGAAACATTTTCCTACATTTTCCGGAGTTCATGTCAGAGAACAACTTCAGTTGATGATCCCACCTCCTTTTCTGCCCGCAGGCTCTGCTGGCTGTGCAGTATTTTGTTTCAGGAGAGACGGACAGGCCAGCTGGAAATCCAGTTTAAAAACTGTACATCTTTGTTGCTGTTGCTGGCCCAGCACATTTGAGTCTCTCATTTCTAGAGAAGGATGGAGCCATCAGCCTTTTAGCAAGGGAAATGCATGAAGCAGAAAGGAAGCGACAGATTTTCTCAGCTTAAGTTCGATGATAAATTGCATTGCACGCGTTTTGCATGTTGGAAAATTAACTCAAGGAAGCGATCAAAATTTTTACCGAATGACTCGGCCGTGCAGAGGAACCTCAGACGCTTCAGACTGGAAGCTCCTGCGTCGAATAAACCACTTTGTTATGTTAGCTTGAGGTATGGCAGCTGCTCCGTCATTAAATTCAAAGTTTTATGCTTGTTGGGCGTTGTGGTTCGTAAGTGTTAAATGGTTCCTTCTTCTTTTCTTCACTGTTACCGTTCAATTATCGCAGTCGGACAACAAACATCCATCAACAGCAACCCGTCTCTGGTTTATCTCATAAATTGCACCATTGGCCACTCCAGTCG